TGGTGCATCTCCGGTGCATCGCCGATGCATCGCCGATGCATCGGCGGCGATGCGGCGCGATCTTCTGACCCCATCTACCCCGACCCCACCTAGAAGGCCACTAAAGAGGGGGAAGTGACTAGGGGTGGGTGGATATCCTTGCGGGGGTCAGGATGTCTGGCTCGATTTCATGGCGCCTCCTCTTGTTTCAAGACGTCCCGCCCCCCCCCCCTGGGCCGCGCGCGCGCCGCCGGCCATGGTTTGCACCCCCCCCTCCCTCTTGGGCGCCCCCGACAGGAGGTGGAGCCGCTTCCCTCGGGGCCCCTTTCCAGGGACGATCCCACTCGTCGTGTGCGCATGAACACCGGAGTCCCAGCTGGCGGTCTGCCCGTGCGGGGGTGAGTCTTCCGTCAGAGATTCCTTGGTCGCGCATGGGTTTGCGTGTTGCGTTTGCCGGTTATTCTGGCTATTGCTTCTTCTTGTTCCTCATCTTTCTTCGATGTGTTGTTCGGTCTTCCTCTTCCTGAGCCTCTTGTTCCGCCTCCTTATCCTCACGCTGGTGGGGATGGGGATCGGTTCAACGATGCTCATCAAACAGCCTGTCTGTTGGTGTCCTACTTTGTTGCAAGGCGCGCGTGAGCTCATCTAGATCATCTGGATCCGAAAATCGTGGTCCGTGGCATCTGTGTAGCTAGCCTCCACTGGTCTCCCCCTATGGCTTTCAGTAAGTGTGGCTTCTCATGCGGTTTCCCGTTCGTTCTGGTCTCTCGTCAGGTCTCCGCTTTGGTCTCCCGTCTGGTCTCCCCTACGTCGGCACTGCATCCGCTACACCACTCTTCACTTTCGATGTTTGTTCTATTGTGTCACCGTCGATGTTTGTTATATTGTACTATTGTTCATTGTGCGAATGCTGTAGCACGCACGCGAACCTAGTCTCCTCCCGCCAAGGGTGTCATGCTCACGAGCATCGTTTCCTCGAGTGCGCAGTGGAAGTGCTTCGCGTCCCAGGGCACCCAGGTATTGAGAATGCCGGCTCGGGCATGGCGGAGGTGTCCAACCGGGCTGTTTTTGGGGGAACGGGCGTTCTCAGACGCTGAGAATTTGGTATACTTACAGCCCAACCTTTTATACTTTGTGCTCTGAGAACTCCGGGGGGGCGCAGTATACTTTTATCCTTTGTGCTCTGAGAACTGCGGGGGGGCGGTATACATGTATTCGTATCCACCGCCTGCCGAGGTCCCCGAACATCGACTCCTCGGGCGGCGGTTACGGATGCACCGCAGCCTCGCACGGCTGCCTTGATAACAGACTCCAGGCCACGCCGACCGCCAGAGACAGAAAACGCAATTCAGCGTCGTCTAACCGAACCCCATCCTCAGTGGCCCAGGGTATTTCAGCCCCACCAGCCCACACCCCCAGGTGGCAAACGTCTACGGCAAAGGAGGAGGAGGAGGAGGAGGAAGAGGAGGAGGAGGGGGGAGGGAGGAGGGGGAGGGGGAGGAGGAGGAGGAGGAGAAGGAAGAGGCGGAGGAGGAGGAGGAGGAGGAGGGCGGGTAAGTCGTGAGGATACCGATGCTCAACAGCAGAGAAGGAAAAGCCCGGCAGGTCGGCCCGGCCGTGGCGGACCTCCTGCTCGGCGTCGCATCCCCCGGCGGACGGCTGCCGGTGTCGATGCCCAGAGCCGACGAGCAGCGGTTCGTTCCGGCGCGCGTTTGCCTCTGAATTTTGCGGGGGGGGGCAGGATGCGGTGGAGAATGATGATGATGATGATGATGATGATGATGATGATGATGATGATGATGATGATGATGATGACGATGACGATCACGATCACGATCACGATCACGATCACGATCACGATCACGATCACGATCACGATCACGATCACGACGATGAGGATGATGATGATGATGATGATGATGATGATGATGATGATGATGATGATGACGAGCTGGAGGAGAAGGAGGAGGAGGAGGAGGTGGCTGATTATGGTGATGCTTATAATGCTGCTGCTCATGATGATGCTGATTGTGGTGATGATGTTGATGCCGATGCTGATGCTGATGCTGATGACGATGATGACGATGATGATTATCCTGTGGAGGAGGAGGACGAGGAAGAGGATGGTGATGCTAGTGAGGATGATGAGGATGATGATGATGATGAGGATGATGATGTCGATGCTGATGCTGATGACGACGATGAAGATGACGATTAGGATGACGATTGCGACGATGATGATTATGACGACGATGTCGATGATCATGAAAACTGGTGATGGTGATCATTATGATGGTGGTGGTGATGGTCATGGTGATGGTGATGGTGATGGTGATGGTGATGATGATGCTGCGCGTAATGATGATGTTATTGATGTGTAATGATCATGCTGACGGCGGCGATGATGCTGATGATGAGAATCCCGACGACGATGATGCTGCTGCTGCTGATGCTGACACTGATGATTTTAATGATGGTGTCGATGATGATGATGATGATGATGATGGTGATTCTGGCGAGGATGATGGTGATGATGATGTGTATGATGGTGACGACGATGATCATGAGGATCATGATGAAGATGTGGATGTTGATTGTGCTGATGATGAGGAGGATCATATACGATCATGATGATTATGATGATCGTGCTGCTGATGATGATGATGATGATGATGATGATGATGATGATGATGATGATGATGATGTGTCCGAGGAGGAGGTGGAGGATGTGGGGGATGACCATTGTGAGCCCAAGACTCATCAACGATGGTGCAGTGAACCCTCCCTCCAGGTTGCCTCTGCATAGGTGCTGCCTGCAATGTTTCATTTTCACTGAGGGAAATTCTTTTTCGGAAAACAACCGTCTCAAAATCTTGAACCGTGCCAGAAAACCAGTCATGGGATTTCAGAGCCGCGAATCAACGTAGCCGGTGCGTCCTGACAATCCTGAATCGCGCCAAAACGCAATCCTTGGGACATCAACACCGCGAATCGCTTTTTGTATTACGATCTGACAGTTTTGCATCGCCCCAGGGCTCTTTTTTTCTGGGGTGTCTGCCGTGAGAACCTGTGAAACTCATGTAATTTATTACGGCGGATGTGCGCGGTGATGAGGTGAAACTTACATGTTGAACAGATGCCGCCCTCTATCCGTGAAACGCTTGCAAACTTTTATTACGATTTTTTTCGGCGCTAAGGCGAGAGCCAGATTTTGAAAACCACCCGCACTCGGTCCGTGAAGCACCTGCAAACCTTCCAGGGAAATGTGCGCGGTGCTACGGCGAGAGCCACGTTTTGAAAACCACCCGCCCTCCATCCTTGCAGCGCTTGCAAGTTTAGGACGAATGTGCGCGCCGCTCGGGAGAGAGCCACATTTTGAACCTTCCGCTTCGCCTGCGAAGGTCTCAGGCGCAACGCACGCCCCGCCCCAAAAGACACGTCTCGGGGTGCGACAGGTAGGAGTTGTCTATAAGGAAAGGATGGATGAGGAGGAGGAGAAGAAGGATGGGAGGAGGAGGAGAAGGAGCAGGAGGAGGAGGAGGAGGAGGAGGAGGAGATGGAAGAGGAGGAGGAGGGGGAGGAGGATAAAGAAGAGGAGGAGGAGGAGGAGGAGGAGGAGGAGGAGGAGGAAGGGGAGGAGAAGGAGGAGGAGGAGGTGAGGGAGGAGGATGAGGCGGAGGAGAAGGAGGCGGAGGAGGATGGGACGGAGGATCGTCGAGGCAGCGCAAACGGTCGGATCAGCGGAGGGTCTTGTTGCCCCGCAGAGCCGGCGCGATGCGTCGCTCAGGCGGGCCGCATGGGCCTCGCGTTCCGGGAGTACTTTTAAGTCGGGCCTGTCTCTCTACAGGAGGAGTATTCAAAGATAGTAAACACATAGTCGGGGGACAATTTGTTTACCATGTTTGACAATCCTGGGGTATGTTTTACACTTTTACATTTTTCGTCCAAAATCCTCCTGTAGAGGGACAGGCCCGACCTAAGGGTACTGTTTTGATCCGTGGTTTTGGCGCTCACACGTCAGATCCACGGATCCGTAATCCATATCAGCGTGCGCCCCGAGAGGGGGAGGGGGGACGAGGAGGAGGAGAGAGGAGAAGGAGGAGAAGGAGGAGGAGGAGGAGGAGGATTGGAGAGGAGGATCAGGAGCAGGAGGAGGAGGAGGAGGAGGAGGAGGAGGAGGAGGAGGAGGAGAGGAGAGAGGAGGAGGAGGAGGAGAGGAGGAGAGGAGGAGGAGGAGGAGGAGGGAGGAGGAGGAGGAGGGAGGTCAGTCCTTACTGTGTGATGAGGAGGAGGAGGAGATGTCAGTCCTTACTGTGCTTCTGCAAGCCGCCGGTGACCCCTGAAGCGGTGCTGCAGGGGTCACCTGGCCCTGGTTTGGTCAACCCCCCAGGGCCCACCAGCCCTGTAGGGGGGAGGGCTGCGAACGACGTTCCTTCCAGCCATCAGGAGTCAGGTGTCAGGACTCAGGAGGAGGTCCTCCCTTGCCCACTGCCGGCGCGATCCTTCGACTACATCTACTCCGACCCCATCTAGGAGGCCTCTAAATCCCCGCCTCCCCTCCATCGCTCTATCCCTGCCCACTCCCTCTCCTTTCCTGCCCTTCCCTTGCCTTCCCTGCTCTTTCCTTCACTTCCCTCGCATCCTGTCCCTTCCCTGTCCTTTCCTGCCTCCCTCTCCCCCCCTCCCCCGCAAGCTGTCCCCGCTTCCCCCTCCCCCTCCTAGATTTAAGTCGGGCACGTCACTCTGCAGGAGGAAGATTCCAGAATAGCGTGAAACCATCGTAGCTATGTTGCGTGCTCTTGTGGCTGTTGCTGTACTCTGGGATGCAATGCTTAATGTTCCTTTTGAAATCCGCCTGTTCGAGGACATTCCCGACCTGATCCTACAGGCGTCGCCAGGGCGCGCCGCTCCCCGTGCCCCGCCCGCGGACCGCGGCCCGCCGTCCCCCGCGCACCGCATCGGAGGCGCAGTACCCAGGCGAGCCGTACAACGACGTCAACATGACCGCGAAGTTCTCGGAGGAGGGGAGGGGAGCCCTCTTCTTCCTCCTCCTCCTCCTGCTCCTCCTCCGCCTCCTCCCTCTCTTCCTCCTCCTCCTCCTTCTCCTCCTCATCATCATCCTCCTTCTCCTCCCCTCCTCCTCCTCCTCATCATCATCATCATCATCATCATCATCCCCCTCCTCCTCCTCCTCCTCCTCCTCCTCTTCCTCCCCCTCCTCCTTCTCCTCCTCCCCCTTTTTGTTTCAGGGCGGGCCGGGCGTTTCGCCTGAGACTTCCTCATTACTTATGATTATGCAGTTTTCCGTAGCCATTTTGGCTCAAGCCATTTTGACTCAAGCGGCGCCGTGGACAGTTACCTGCAGCCCACCCTGAGGCAGAGGCTGCTCCGCTTTTGATTTTGCACAACCAGCAGCTCGCACATCAGTTCTGTTGCCGCGATGGGGAAGTCGCGTACAGCGGAATGACACTCCCGCTGAGGAGCTCGACGATCGGATGCTCGGTCACCCTCCCCCCTCGTCTACTTCCGCCTCCCGCACTCGCCGTTCAGCCAGCCGCAGTCCTGGACGTGCTGAGGACCGCGATGAGATTTATCTTGCCCGCCAGCTTCGTGATGTCACAGGTACACTCTCTTCGGTGCACCAGATGATGATGCAGAGTTCGCAGGACATGAACGAGCTACGAACGAACGTGCAGCACAGTTTCACTAGATGCCCGCAGATATCGGATCAGGTTGTCTTGCTGGGCCAAGATGTCAAACGGAGGCATGCGGATTACAGAACCAAGTAGCATGTGCACTCAAGGGTATTGACACGAAAGTTGCCCAGCGCCAGAATGAAATGGCATCGAACTCGCAGTCGCCGTCGTCGGACATCCCCATGGACACGGACTCGGTATCCGTGGTTGTGCAGTCTAAGTTCGACAAGATAGAAGCCTCCCTTGGTGACCTTCTTTCTCGCCAGATCTGTACTGAGCGGCAATGTGCCGAAATGCAGTATACCGCGACGCCAGGCTCGGTTTCTCCAAGAACAACCAGAGCCAACCCCACACAGGACAGAGGACAGCTGCAATATCAAACATGCAAATTGGTACTATTCGGTTTCCCGAGAAAGATGTTGGTCAAAGATTTGCGTATGACTGGAGATCAATGTCGTACTACTTTCGCGCCCTCGAATACGGCAGACCGTGTGATCGTGAGGGCCTTTGGCATGAGCAAAAAGGTCACGCTCCATTTCGAGACCCCATTGGCGGCAGGCTCATTCATGGTCAACTTCCTGGCGAGGGACAAAGTCTGGGAGTTCCCAGATCCACTGAACCCGTCCATATCTTTGCCGCTCAGGCTGCGGCGAGACATGAATTCAAACAGCCGCCAGCTCTTTTGATCTCTTGGAAAACTCCGCAATCGAGTCCCGGAACTAGTTCGTGACAGGGACTCGAAGTCGGCCCGCCGGCATTAGGAGGCAGTGTCTACATCCTTCGCGGCCCGCGCGACCCAGTGCAGGTCGCAGCAGTTGCGGTTGACAGCTAAGGGGCCGTCGACTGTTGCCTCGACCGAGGCGCCCTGCTAGAGGTCATTCTCTCACAACACGCAGCATCAATAGAAGCAGCAGCGCAGGTGCAGCGCCAGCGGCCCTTTCGCCGCTGATGGGGACTGCGCGCACAGCGCGTCGGTTGCTCTATCCCGAGCTCTCGTCCTACTATACGCACGTGGAAATGCCAGGCGCTGATGACCTCAGTACGTACCTCGAGTAAGACGGCTTCTACACGCCATCACACCTACCTTAAACGGCTCGAGAAATGCGACATTGTATGCACACAAGAGACACACGGCCATATCGGCGACCTCAACGAGTCGGAGCGCGAGCTCCGTGGATACCAGTTTGGCGCCTCCTTCCTCGACAGCTGCATGGAAGGTGGTGTAATCACCTTTGTCTCTTCTAGGCTGGCCCCTCAGTTCACTGAAATACGGCAGGAGGAGATTAGCCAGGGGCGCATCCTTAACGTTCCTTCAGGGCCCCCAGGGAGTGTTGGTTATTTGCAACGATCACCTCCCGAACGCATGCGACCCCATGCCGCTTTTCAAAGGAGTCCTAACGGCACTTAGGAATGACATGCGACTTCGCCTTCCTGGTGGAGATGGGCAGCATACACATTGTCTGGTGCTCGGCGATTTCAACTTCGTTCTCGAAGACGAAGGGCGTCTGCGCGGTGCGTCTTGGGCGTTTCGTCCTGGGGGCCCTGCTCGCCCGAGGCTTTTCTACAAACTCTTCCCTATGTTGACCGAACTATACCAGGATCAGGACACTCGTCGTGCGACTCGGGGTGAAGCTGTTTCGTCCACTTCGCGATTCGATCGGATACGCGCCTCTCTTCCTCCTGGGCTTCTTCGTGGTCTTACTACCCATGCGCGTGCCATGGGCGCTCTCCGGAGACAGGCTTGCAGCGATCATATCCCTGCGTTTGCTTCGATTTGCCCTTCTGCCCTTCCTCTGACAAACCCCCGCGCGAATTACTGGGGCTCCTGAATTTCATGAAGCTTTGGATACCCCCATCGATCAAATTCCAGTGGCATTGGACCCGCGGCACAAGCTCGAATCTATCAAAGATTGTTTCTACGAGTTTGCCGCTGCCGCGAGACACGCCATTCGCTCTCGTAAGGCCTGTTCCCTGCAGGAGCGTTACTTCCACGCTCTTGCCGCGCTGCGTGCTGTTCGCCTTGGCCGGCCCCGTCGTCTGCAGCAGGCAGCGGGCTGCTACCCGCGCCCGAGGGTGCATGTTTGCCAGGACCTAGAGCAGCGCCGCAACGTGGACGACCTTTGCCAGCATGTGCAAGCTCTTTATATCAAGATATTGGAGGATGAGGAAATGGGCATTCGGAGGTCTAAGGTGGAGGAGGAACATAAAAAAAGTCACTACTTGCACGCAATGCCCGCCGGAAGGAGCTGTGGCGACGATTCAGGCGACATGCGTGCCTGGCTGGCATCTCGGATGACGACGGCAACGCGATAGAGACGATGGAGGCGTCCGCGGTGGCCCTGGAGGCTCACGGGGGAAGCATTTTTCGGCGGCCCGAGGTGAGGCCCGATCTTTGGACCCAAATTGAACCCCACGTCCAACGCCTCGAAGGCCCTCTGTAAATGGTTCGGCAGATTCCGTCAAGTATTTGGTATGACGTCATTCTATTTAGACCCAACAGTACGCCTGTGCCCGATGGGATCCCCATACTCGTCTTGGCGTCGCGAGCCAGCCGCGCGCATTCTATCTGATGTGCACAGTTCGCTCTTCACCTCAGACATTGACTCGATTCCGCGCTCTATGTTGGAGAGCCTAATGGTATTGCTACCCGAGGGCACGGGCCCTCAGGATCCTGCGGACGGCACGGCGCTGGTTCGGCACCCATCCTGCACCCGCCCTCTCAGCATGATCAACACGGATATTAAGTCGTTTGCGAATGCGATGACGATTGCGTTAACGTCGAACTTCAGTCACCTCATCGATAAGGACCAAGCGTGCTTGCGGGGGCGGGACATGACTGCGCACATCATTCGGGCGGAAACCTGGGGCACCCGTCAGCGCATGTGCGCGCAGAAGTACGCATCCATCTTCCTCGCCGACTTCTGCTGCTTTCCCCTCGCTCTCCTCTGAGTGGATCCTTTACGCGCTGTCTTGCATGAACCTGCCTGCCGCCGTCGTGGACTTTTTTTTCGCATGGTGCACCGTGACAACACTGGGGTGATCACGCTCGCGGGTCAGAAATGGCACGATAAACATCCAATCAGGTGTCAAGCAGGGCTGTCCTGCATCCATGTTCTTATATGTTGTTGCTACAGGCCCTCTCCTCCGATGGCTTCGTTTCCATATTCCCCCCGCGTGTCAATCAACCTCGCTTACGCAGACGACCTTATGCTTGGGCTGATGAACGCTCTCCGCGATCTTGGCCCAGTGTTGCGCGGCCCCCAGATGTTCGCTGACGCTGCGAACCTGAAGCTGAATTGTAAGAAGTGCCAGATCATAGGTTGCGGGGGGTTGGGCCTTTGCATCCTGAAAAAGACGCTTGACCAGTTTGGGGGCCCCTTTAACACGCTCCTGGTGGACTCTTGGGCCATCTACCATGGGATTCCTATAGGGCCTGATGGGTACCTTCATGTTTGGGACGCGGTTATTGTCAAGTTCCGGAACAGGATTAGGCAGACTCGTGCTCTTGGGCTAAGTCGGGCCTTTTCGGCTATGTCATTCCGCGCCATGTGCGTCTCTCTTCTTCAGTACCGCCTCCGGATGCACCCCGCCTCCCAGGAACTGATTCAATGCTTCAACGAAGGCGCGCGCCTTCTGACGGTTGGCCCAAGGCACGCTATTTTTTATGAGCTGGCCACCCAACTGAGTGCGATTGTCTTGGGAATGGAGTTCCTGGATATTCACGCGGTCGGGAAGGCCGCGGGCGCGCGATTTGTTGTGCGCTCAGCTGTTGTTTATGAATCCCTAGACCACCTCCGAGAAGATCGTGATAACCTAGAACATGCCCCCTCTCGTTGGCATCGTGGTTGGCATGCAAACTCCCTCATCTCTCACCTTCGGAAGTTATCAATTTGGCACCGCTCTCTTCCCAGCGACCTGGACACCGCTGGGAAATCGTTTCAGACTAAGATATATCGGCTCGCTCGTAAACAAGACCAGATGGTGTACGCAAAAGGGATTTTACTACGCCGCGCCCGCAGCCTGCGCGCCGAGATGGACGTCCATATCATCGAGGCGTTATGTCAGAATCTGCGTGAGGTAGCGAAGTGCACCTCTATGTACCCTGCCGTCGCCCCCCTCCGCCCCCTGACGAACTCGATCGACGCATTCTCTCGTTTCCATGCGAGCCCTGGGGGCTGCCTTGTCGGTTGCACCGCGGATGTTCCTCGGGCCCTGGGCGATGTTCACCATTGCTATTGCTGCCCTAGTTTGGAGAAACTGATTCGGGTCTGGATTGGGTTTCGAGTGGACCTCTCCTGTGAGCTCTGTCGGCAGTCTTACTGGTT